TAATTTTCTAAAAGCTTATTTTAAAAATGAGAATGAAGGTAAAATATAAAATACAATTCATCAGAAATTTACATCTAGTTTAGCTATAAAACAAAAATCATCACACCACCACAGTAAAATGCTCTCTCCTGCTGTCTAACAGCAACTGAAATAGCTATCATTACTGTATACATCATGAGGCAGATGGGGTTAGATGTCGGAGCTAAAGACAATGCATTTACATGGAATTGGATAATGCTAATTTCTACAATTAACAGTATTTTTTTCAAAAAAACACTTCAGATAATTTTAACTTCAGTGAAAAGCTTAAACAACATCTCCCTTCTGAATGTATATTCTTTAACAAACCAAATTCTGCAGATCCTTCACAGTTGGTCTCAGTATTACTTGTATTAAGCATCGTGGCTCCATTTCTAGGTCCTGTTCCTATATATCTACATTAATTTCACCATAGATTTTAAATTCCTACATTAGAAGAACTAAGTCTTATCAACTGGAATCTTTGATAAAAAATATTACTGCAGACCATATTTAATAATCAAGTATGATTTTAAAGCTGAATCATGCTATACTTTTGTAAATTGAAAGACAGAGGAAGGAAAGAAAGGGGAAAGAAAGGAGAGCTGAGGAGAATAAAGAGGAGGGAACCAACTCACATCTCAGAGAAAGAGAATTTATCTACACATGAGGAATTATGCACCAGAAAAGGGTCCATTAATCCTCAAGTTTCTCATAATTGGAAGCTAGTAGGTTTGATACAAAACCAGAATTCAATACAATTCAATATGTTTTCCACTGTGTACTGAAAAGAGTGGTGAAACAATACATCACCTTAGAGCAAGTGAAAATCCTATATTACAAAACGCTAATTTGTATAAAAATTGATGGACAAATATAATTTACCTATATACATACCTGTGTATTCATCAAGGCCTTTAGACACTGTATGACTTTGTGCTGATTCTTCTTTACAACTTTTTCTTGGCTGTATCGACATGAAAGATATTGGTGTTGAAATTACAATTGGATATGTAAATGTAGCTTAATCGAAAATAATTCTTAGCAATACTTACATTTTGCCATTAATCAGTCTTTCCAAAATGTCCAGTAATAACCCAAGTCCCTCACATCCAAAGCTTTGCACCCAACTGAAAAAACAAAAAAAGAAGAAGAAAATGTAATTGTACATTGTTGTAAGGGTTTTAAATGTACCCTAGTTTGGAATATCACAGTAATGCTTACTGGCTGTTGTTGTTAAATACTCACAAATATTTTACACTTGTTAATGTTAATGATGGTCCCTAGGTGGTGCAAATGGTTTACGTTCAACTATTAACCTAAAGTTGGTGGTTAGAACCCACCCAATGGCACCACAAAAGAAAAGTCTGACAACCTGTTTCCATGAAGATTACAGCCAAGGAAACCCTGTGGAGCAGTTCTATTCTGTAGCACATGAAGTCGCCATTAGTCAGAATCAACTCAATGGCAAAAGGTTTGGTTTTTGGTTTGGTTTTATGTTCATGATTATGAATACAATATAAAAATAACACCACCACACACAAACTCGTTCATGATGCATAATCTTAGGCATGAAGGAAGAAGTAAAGGTGTGACAAGCCAGTGGTGCACAGGCGCCCACTCCCACTGACTCTCGAGAGCCAGCTGGGCACATCTCTTCTCCGCTCCGTGATCAGTAACATCATGCTGATAGCTGAAAAAAGGCCACAGTGGGAGTATTTACACCAAAAAAATCACCAAAGGCTACCAATCAAGGTTATCAGTTCACTTTTAAACAGTTTTTAGATTCAAAACTATAACTATAAAGATATTTTAAAGTCAATATAAATGGTTTAAGATTAGTCATACTGCTATCATATTCCATCATTGTGGAAAACAAACTTAGGAGACAATTCCTCCAAACACTAGAATGCATCTACTAACATTGAGAATTTCCTAAGTTTCAAAGTTCAGTCATCTTAAAAAACAAACAAAAAAAAATCCATCATTTTTTAAATGAATATTTAAAAAAGAAATATTATTTCCATCTTGACCAAAACACGTCTATTCCATAAACCCACTGATTGAATCACAGTATTGTACATGAGGAGGACATCATGGCCACTAAACAAGAGTTCACCTTGATCACAGGAAAACTATCTTTTATCTTAGAAATTAATTTCTTAGAAATTAACACTTTTTCTCAGTGGTGATTTGATAACCTAGACCAACAAATAAAGTATTGGTAATAAGCTGTCTCTCAAAATATGGGTGAAACAAAAAGATAATAGGATATAAATATGTAAGTATATTTTTGGTATATATGTGTTTGTACATATGTGTGTGCTTGTATGATTATACATGTATGTGTAACCTTTGAACAATAAAATGTTAAAAACCAAATTCCATCAAAAAAGCAGAGTGTTGTCTCAGCGAACATCTAGCTCACTTGGCATAACATAGTGTATAAAGAAAATGCTCTACATCCTACCTTGGTGACAGGGATCACAATAGAGGGTCCCAGACAGAGCTGGAGAAAAATGTAGAACAAAATTCTAACTCACCAAAAAAAAACACCAGACTTACTGGTCTAACAGAGACTGGAGAAACCTCCAGAGTATGGCTCCTGAATACCCTTTTAACTCAGTACTGAAGTCACCCCTGAGGTTCACCCTTCAGCCAAAGATTAAACAGGCCCATAAAATAAAATGAGACTAAATGGGCACACCAGCCCAGGGGCAAGGACAAGAAGGCAGGAAGGGACAGGAAAGCTGGTAATGGGGAACACAAGGTCGAAAAAGGAAGAATATTGACACATCGCCTGGCTGGCAATCAGTGTCACAAAACAATATGTGTACTAATTGTTTAATGAGAAACTAATTTGTTCTATAAACCTTCATCTAAAGTACAATTTAAAAAGGTGTTATAAATAATAACAACAAGCTTAAGTCACATACCAGAAGAAAATGCTGTTTTCTTGCTTAAGATAAAATATAACATTTGTTTGCTTTAGATAAAATACATTTGCAGTGAAAATAAGAAAGGATAAGAACCAAATTCTTAATATCTACATGAAAAATAAAAATATTGTTAAAAAAATCCATCTTCCTCATTTGCACACTTCTATGAACACAGCATGATCATCTACAAATTTGCAAAATTTCTGATATTACAAGAAAAACAGAAAAAGACATTTGCCATTTAGATTAGCAGTTGCTTGTCTGGCTATTTTACTGATCCAGTGAGAGGCATGGAATAACAAATTCAAGCATGCATTTAAACAGGAAAGATACCCCCTCCTTGAAGGAGAAGACTGAAAATTGCTATTATAGTTAAGGTGAGAAAAAGTTAAACAGAAGTTGGTGTTTTCAAACCCAGATGCAATTTCAAAAGTGAAGAGTTTACTCTCCACTATCAGCAACAGACAGACTACCTGCAGGCTTTTCAAATCTTGCTTTCATGTTTCATGAAAACACCAACAGCATCCCACATAACTGTTTGCCTTTTGGCTTCCTATTTTATATTTATTCCTATTTCACGTGCAGCAGGGAAGCTTGAAATCCAAACACATAAGGAGAAGTTAGAGAATGTTACTTGGGCTGGTATGGAGACGTGTGGAGAGAGTAACCGTTCATCAGGCCCTCCTATGTTAGTACTTCACAGTGAGACTTCAATATTTTGTTTGAACTGCATTTTAAACGATTTCTATATTCAAAATTATATCTATAAAGATATTCTAAAGCCAATATAAATGGTTTAGGATTAGTCCTACTGCTATCACATTCAATCACTTTGGAAAACAAAGAAGTTACTATTCACAAAATTGCCTTCTACCAAACTATACAAAGTATAATTTTGTTAATATAACAAAAAGACCTTGTTGTAACAATGAATCCGAAAAACATCTCATAACATGGATGAATCTGGAAGGCATTATGCTGAGTGAAATTAGTCAGTCGCAAAAGAACAAATATTGTATGAGACCAATATTATAAGAACTCAAGATAAGGTTTAAACACAGAAGAAAACATTATCTGATGGTTACAAGGGTGGGGAGAGAGGGAGAGGGGAATTTACTAACTAGTTAGTAGACAAGAATTATCTTAGGTCAAGGGAAGGACAACACACAATACAGGGGAAGTCAGCACAACTGGACTAAACCAGAAGCTAAGAAGTTTCCTGAACAAAACTAAACACTTCCAGAGACAGAGTAGCAGGGGCAGGAGTCTTATGACCATGGCTTCAGGGCACATCTAGGTCAATTGGCATAACAAAGTTTATTAAGAAAATGTTCTGCATCCCACTTTGGTGAGTGGCATCTGGAGTCTTAAAAGCTAGCAAGCAGCCATCTAAGATCCATCAGTTGGTCCCAACCCACCTAGAGCAAAGAAGAATGAAGAACACCAAAGACACAAGCAGAATATTAGCCCAAGAGACAGAAAGGGCCACATAAACCAGAGACTTCATCAGTCTGAGACCAGAACTAGACGGTGCCCAGCTACCACCAATGACCACCCTGACAGGGAACACAACAGACAGTCCCTGACGGAGCAGGAGGAAAGTAGGGTGCAAAACTCAGACTCTAATGAAATGATCAGACTTAATTGTCTAACTGAGACTGGAGGAACCCCAGAAGACATGGCCCCCGGACTCTCAGTTAACCCAGAACTAAAACCATTCCCGAAGCCAACTCTTCAGACAAAGATTAGACTGGACTGTAAAATATAAAATGATACTCATGAAGAGCGTGCTTCTTAGTTCAAGTAGATACACGAGACTAAATGGGCAGCTCCTGTCCAGAGGAGAGATGAGAAAGCAGAAAGGGATAAGAGCTGGTTGAATGGACACAGGAAATCCGGGGTGGAAAGGAGGAGTGTGCTGTCACATTATAGGGATAGCAACTAGGGTCACATTAACTATGTATGTATAAATTTTTGTATGGGAAACTAACTTGAGCTATAAGCTTTCACTTAAAGTACAATTAAAAAAAAGACATTGTTGCACCTAATATGCTTATGTTGTGGCCCATGCTAAAATTCAGGAAGTACAGCAATCCAAGTAGATAAGTAAGCCTTCTGATCTGGGTAATCACCAAACATTAGCTATTTTTAAAATATGTCATCCCTAACATAACAACTATCAGCAGAATAGAAGAACCCACAGATCTCAAATCAACCATCTCTGGATACAATGGATAACTCTATTCTATACTACAGAATTTGAATCACTAAGGGAAAAAAAAAAAAATGATGAACACACATATATTACATAAAAACTAATTCTCTATGAAACAAAATTTACTAAAGTTGAATACGAAAGGGCATCATACCAAATCACTTTAGATTACAACAATTTGACGCTGTGAGAATTAATTTCTAAACAACAATTGATTAGAGAGGGGGACAATAGCCTTCTGCAAACTAGATTACAGCTTACATTACCCAAAACATATATAAAAAAAAAAAAAAAGTGGAGAGGCGGCTAAGACGTGTAATACCAGAAGACACACTTAAATTTTAAAATATGAAAAGAAAGCTGATGAAAGTACTTATTGAAAAGATATTGCAACAGAAATTAAATATGCATATAAAGTCTCCCTTTTTTCTTAATGGTAGGCCAACATATTAAAAAGTTATATTAAAAAGTTGTCATTCACAAACCTCCTTCTCTTAAGCCCCTTCACCCTCCACCCCAACTATTTTCAGCAATACTATTTTTGAGGATAGGGGCAAATATCACTTGCTATCTCTTCTGCAAAAGATGTTCAAGATAAAAAGTGATATTGAGTAGGTAGGTCCGCGGTCATGACAGAAGTTTATTGAAATCCATAGCTTTCTCCAAAAGTATAAAATTTCTCATCATCAGTGTAAGAAGCAATCTGGAAAAAAAATTATCAACTGATCTACAAATGATCAATCTTCAGGAAACAAAATCTGCACTATTTGTTCTGTGCCTGTCAGCATAGTATCCTCAGGCATTATGTGGTTTAACTATAAACTGCATTCACGGATGAATAAGCACTGTGCAAATGTTTCTTCATGAATAGAAACGACAGAGATCGGCATGACATTTGTATTGGAAAAAGTTGCTTTAAAATGGCACAAAGCAATGTGCTAAATACTACTTCAATACAAAATCTACCTCTTAAAAT